TATATATATATATATATATCTGTTCATAAATAAAATTACAGAATATATATATATCTTCTGTATTTTTATTTTATTTTTTTTTAATACCTATAATTGCTGAAATCTCTGATAGCCTATTTGAAATGTATAGTGTCTTTATATCACAGCTATTATGATGTATTTGATTAAGTCGGTGAATATAAACTTCTTCCATCATTCACATTTCATACAGCTGTATCAGTTCTCACTTGTGTTGCATAAATGTTTATAATTCAGTTTTCGCGATCGTGACATCACAATGAACAGATACCTCTAGATGACTCTAACATATGACGGTATGATAGATGAATAATGTCACGAATTGATGTCGTTGTCTGTCATCATGATGAATATATGGGTTTATATTTATATAAACTGTATGTTAATGTAGAATGTGACGTGTTTCCTGTATCAAATAAATAACTTTACATAGTTGTTTTTCGTAAATAATACATTTTTCATTCTAGAATTTTAGATATATCTAAAATCAGTCCCATAAAATAAATTGACACCTATTTATTTTTATGAGTAGGGGAAAAAATAGTTTGGAAATTTTTCTATAATATAGGTCAAAGGAGAAAGTGGGAAATAATAGAAAGAAATAAAATAATATGGTGACCTACTTCAGAGTCAAAGGTTAGGAATTCTCTTTCCGTTTAAATTGCTTTGATAATCAGTTTTATTATGCTTAGACAGCATTCTTAATTTTGACGAAAACTCAAAAATTTATTCTATTGCCGTATTCCACTTCGACTATTCCATATATTATGTAGGCTATATTCTATTACATATTAAAAATAAACTAATTAAAGAAAAATCAAGCGAATAATTATATTTAAAATGCAGTTAATTTACTAGAGCTAAAGCTATATTACCTTATCAGATAATTATACTATTCTGTTAAAGCAGGTTTTAAATGTGATGCAATTCATCACGTGACTAACATAAAAGCATACACGCACTGGAAAAAATTTATAACACTATTCAGTACTCGAGAGGAAACGAGTGGCTAATGTATTCTATTTAAAAGTTACTTAATAAGATTTTTTAAATCCATAATTCCGTCGGATTATTTAATGATATATATTCAAGGTTACAAATTAAAATTACAATACTCTGCAATTTTTATATAATTAGGTCATATAAAACTAACTTTTTTTTTAGCTTTTTTTTATGAATTTGGATAAAATGTAAATATTTTTATTCGTTTGTCGTGTATTCTAAATGAGAATTGCAATAGTTTTTAAACTGCGATGAGATAGGAAACGTGCTGCTACTTCCTTCGTGGGCAACGATTTTTCATTGGTAGAAAGACTTTCACCGGTATTTGTAGGCCGCAGGTGTGCCGTTATACTTGTCTGCGGGGAGCGTGACTCATTTGAAAATAGTTAATGCTGCGCGGCGTATTTCATATCGCGTTTTAGTTATTCTTGCATCGCATTCAATATCTTGTGTACAGGTGTAAAGCATAAGCTTCTTTGATGTATACAGGTGTTATGAAAGAGACAGAAATTCCTCCAGAAACAGGTAAACTTACATGAATATAGTATTTACAGCGAATTTTTAATTAAAAATTATAAAATTATGATTTTATTTTTTCTTCTTTCTCTCATTTGTTTTATTTTTATGTTTTATAAATATAATTTTTATATTAACTTTTGCAGGGACGTAGTTTAGTTTACTTTTCAAAAAATAAAACAGCCTCTATCAGATATATTTTATATTTAAAGTTGCATTGGCTGTGTTGTAGACACAAATAACTCTTTTTAAGCTACCAATTTATATAAATTTAATTTGTCAAGCTATTTTTCTTATTTTTTCTTCAAATAAATTAATATACAATATTAAATCTGCAACAAAGAAAATGGTTATTTGTCAATTTAACAAGAAAATCAAATATTCTAAGCACATGTATTTAAAATTGATATACATAAATAAATACAAAACAGAATATATAAAATTCTCACATCTGACATTACATTTTTGAATAGGTTTCATTATATTTCTGAATTCCATGTTTTTCTTTTTACTTCAAATCTCATTTTTTTTCTAATTTAAAACCATTTTATCACTGTTTAGTATTATAAAGATTAAATTATTTGATCTATATAAAATGAGGAAGAGTAACTTCATCTCAATGCTTTAATAATAAATAATAAATATTCTNTTATATAACGCACTAAATAAATAATTAATTACATAAATTTTTTAAAATTGGATTTGAAAAATTATTAGGAATTTTACTTCTGTTTTATGACATTAGAAATTAAAAGGATATGTATTATAGTAATCAAGAAAATTCAGTATCATTTTAGTAAATAGCCTTTTTTGAACCATATAATATGAAAAGCTTAATTTTCAAGTATTTTATGAACAGTTTTCAAATTTTTCTGGATTTTTTATAATTCAAATAATTTATTCTATGCATTCTGAAATTTTGTTATTCCTTATTGTAAAGTTTTCCTTATGAATTTAAATATGTTAGTGTTCATTTACAGTTTGTAATGAATTTGAGAAGTATTTTTTCACTTCAGAATATTTAAGGATTATCTGGCTTCTTTTTGACATGTCTTACAGTTTGAAATGTATCTGATAAAAAATGCATACCTTTAGCTGTATATGGAATTAGAATCAACTTAAAACTTTTGAAATCTCTGTGTGTTCTGTTTGATCTGTCTTGCCTGAAGATGACATTAATGATTAAATAGAGTTTTATTAACAAGAATATACTATATGTGAATTTATATACAGTATATAGAATTAGAAAAATTTATCTTAAAAATTAGAATTAGAAGAATTATCTTAAAAATTTATGTGTTCTATTTTTTATATATATTTCAAAAGTAATATTACTAGTATCTTTTTTTTATTGTAATTAACCTAGTATTTATAAAATAATTTCATTTTTTAAATTAGATATAGTTTCTTTGAAGGATAATTAACTTTTAAAAAGTATTTCTAAAAATATTGAAGCAATATTTATCCATAGGGACTGTCCATAAATTACGTCTGCATTTTTCTTTATAATTTTACTCCCCATTCCCCTGTTGTCCCAATTTGTCAAAGTTTCTGTAACCACCTCCCCACCTCGGACGTACAGCAAAACTCGACCCCCTTTATCAATTTATAAATGCTAAATATCACAGATAGAAACGAAACATACAAGAAAATTTGAAAAATGTAGAAAATTTAATGAAATAAACGGACGTCGACTGAAGTTCAACTCCTTCCCTCCCCATTGTCCGACTTGTCCTAACCACCTCCCTCCCTTCCAGTGTGGACGTCCTTTATGAACAGCTCCCCTGTGACTTAATTGCATGTTTGTGTGATGTTTGTTTAAAACGAAATTTCATTTCTTGTGGATTTTGAAATTTATAAAAACAATTCAATACTGACCTTTTTAATAAAAATACTAAATTTTTTTAAGTTGGTAATAATTTTTGAATGATTAATGAATTTGTTCAAATTTTACATTATTATATTAATATATATTGTGTATTGCATATATTGTGTATTAATAATATAATTTATATAAATTAAAGAATAGAATGATTTTATTTGATTATATAACGCACTAAATAAATAATTAATTACATAAATTTTTTAAAATTGGATTTGAAAAATTATTAGGAATTTTACTTCTGTTTTATGACATTAGAAATTAAAAGGATATGTATTATAGTAATCAAGAAAATTCAGTATCATTTTAGTAAATAGCCTTTTTTGAACCATATAATATGAAAAGCTTAATTTTCAAGTATTTTATGAACAGTTTTCAAATTTTTCTGGATTTTTTATAATTCAAATAATTTATTCTATGCATTCTGAAATTTTGTTATTCCTTATTGTAAAGTTTTCCTTATGAATTTAAATATGTTAGTGTTCATTTACAGTTTGTAATGAATTTGAGAAGTATTTTTTCACTTCAGAATATTTAAGGATTATCTGGCTTCTTTTTGACATGTCTTACAGTTTGAAATGTATCTGATAAAAAATGCATACCTTTAGCTGTATATGGAATTAGAATCAACTTAAAACTTTTGAAATCTCTGTGTGTTCTGTTTGATCTGTCTTGCCTGAAGATGACATTAATGTAGTGTAGAAAGTACTAGTGAGTTTTTTGTTATTAAATGTCTTTCAAATGCTGACAGACAGTTGTTCTTTTTTATTCATTAGAATTATTTTTAAAAATTGTAAATATATTAATTTAGTAATGATAATTCTAAAAGCATAGACATAATTATGAGATTATATTCAAAAATTAATACTTTATTCTTGTATAAAGAATAATTTAAGGAAAATTTATTGAAAATGTCAAAACTAATAAAATATCTTCTTTAATGTCAAAATTGAGTCAGCAATAAGTTTTTTATTTTTATTTTTTTCTTATTCATTGATTTTCTTAGTTTTATAAGTTTTCAATTTTAATTAAATTATATTTCTATTAATTTTTTTTTTTGATTGTAAAACATATGTTATGTGATTATTATTGTTTTTTTTCCACTTATTTATCTTTGTGAAGTTACAATAATAATCTATCTTTGTTTTTAATTTTAAGATTTGAGAATATAATTATCATTTTCATTTTAAAAAAATATTTCATACTGTACTTAATTCACACTATCAGATTATAAATTCTTTATTGATCCTTATACTCAGTTGTAATCTTTATTGCTCTATGTATGAGGACTATATATGCCACTAAAATATACTTTCTAGAATCCTTCAAATCAATGGAAATATAAATAAGCTTAAATGTACCTTTACTATACACTAATTCTTCTTATCTATCCATTTTCTTTCCAATTAAAACATTCAAAAAATGCACTTATTGTTCTGAGCATTGATCTTTTTTGCAGGGTTAAACCTTGTACAGAGCTTGTGTCAGAGAAGGCCTGCACAAAGTGACTAACCATGCCATCATTTCTCCAAATAGCAGTATCATCATCCACATATCTCAACATTACTTAAACATATTCTCCCATTTCTTCCATGACATTGTTTTGAGTTTTGCACACAATCAGCTCAACTATTAAACTAGCAAGTGGAGATTCTTAAAAAAATAAATTGCACAATAAAGGACTTTTGTTAATAAATGTGACTAACCTTACTGACAAGTGAATAAATACTGAAAAACATTTATTAAGAGATTTGAAACTTAATAAATGCTTTTTTAAAACTTCTTAATTATTAATTAATGTTAGTTAAAATAATTGAAATTGTTGAAAAACAAAAATGAAAAATTATTATAGTGTTTTTAGTTTTTTCAACTACATTTTTAAAAATCAATTCTGCTCTAAAGGAAAGCCATTGATTCCCTCAGTCACTACTTCACTGTTTCTTAAAACAAAGAAAGAGAAAACACTTATAGTAACTTCAGTGAAAAGACTCTTGATTCAATCCTTTTAACACAGACTTCCTGAAGATGAGTCTAAGCTTGAAAATGTATGAACTCTTGTAATTTTTTCATATCTTTTATAAATGCTAAACTGAATAATTCTGAATTGTTTAGTGTCTGTTAATTGTAAAGTTATTTTAAAATGAATGATGTATATTTAATGTTACATAACATAGTTATATTAATACTGTAAGTTTGACATAACATGAATTAAATAATTGTAATAATTTGTTATATATTTTTATGAAATCAAGTAAATTTAGTATTTAAGTTATATAAAAGATAACTTAAATTCTAATTTACATGATTTAATAAAACTTGGATATGTGAGAATATAAGTATACTTCTGTTTTTCAAATCTGACAATGATTTTACTGTATAAAACAACTCCCATATAAATTTATTTACCCAAAACTGCTTTGTAGTGTTTCTCTGAAGAATTTTGTTTAAATCAAATGTTATTTGCTATGTCATTATATTCATCTTCTAGTTAAATACATTTTGTAAAGCCTAACATTATTAAATCTGTTATAAAGATCTCAAAATATCTATGATTTCAAAACACTATCTATTTCTAAAAACTGTAAAATACACTTTATCATTTAAAACATCATTTAACAATTGTGTTAAATGATGAATTTTAAATTTCAAAACTATCTTAACTGAATAACTATTGTTTAATTTTATGCAAAAGTTTTTCTAAATATCTGAATGATTGTATTTGTTTCCAATAGAAAATGACAATAGTTTATAGTAAAATATTAAAAAGTATATTTTATTTTAGGGTAAGATGAAGATAAAAACATAAATTTAATAATCATTATATTCTGATATTACATAATAATTTCATATACTGGTTGGTATAACACAAATTTTTTGTTAGTTTAAGTGAGATATCAAACTACAGTAAGCCAGAACATGTTAACTGATATTAACCTAGTAAATTTCATCTCAATAGGACTTTGTAATGAAATAAGGTCATCTTATAATCATTTAATCATTCAAGTATATAATTGATATAAGGATAGAAACAAGGCTGGTGCAATGTGTTCCCTAGAATCAGACCCACAGTCCCTGAAAAGCTCATTGTAAATTTTGCAGTGCCCTATGCATAGTGTCATACATGCAT